CCCACAGTCTACTATATTCCGGATCATCTGTGTTTGAGTGTCAGTTATGCCCTCTTACTGACAAATTGCTGACCGTGAGGTAGTGAGTAGCTGTTACTACGGTCGTTTGAAGGAACATTGGAGGTCATCTTTTCAGTATCAATCGAATCTTTGCGAGAGGATGAAAGGCATGACAATGGGGTATATATACGGCCGTAGAATATGTAAGCAGTCTCTCTGATCGAGCCACTGAACGTGTATGAGAGCTGACTCAATTTATAAGATGACTATGATTTGCTAATGCAAAGTGACTGCGCAAATAAACCTTTATCGTGCCGTGATCTTGCCGCCGGGGTACATGAGACCGTATCGGGGGTGAGGTAGCCAAGAGAGGCTATTACAACCTCTCCACTAGACTACGTCGCAAAGTCTCTATTAGTTTGAATGTAGCGGCAAGGGTTTGGCTCATCTGTGAAGGATTCAATGACCAGCTGTACAGAGGTCTTCGATCTTCTTCCTCAGAATCGGGCGGCAATGTTCTACACAGAGCGCGCAAAATATTCGAAACTCATATGACCAGTGAATAGAAGAATGTATCATGTATTATGGGCGAGTGCCAGAATGGTGATGCCGTCGAAAGTTTGAACATAGCTCCCTCCCGTCCTGCCTCCATGGTTCATCAGCCACACCCCCCGTCTCACTGATAGGCGCTAAGTCAACATCTATTCAATGTAAATGCTGATTTCGTGTGGGTACCACATTGGCTTAGACCCTCGGTAGTGTAAGTACGGATTAGTTCAAAGCGGTGAATCTGAGACATATGTCAAGTGATGTATTTGCGGCACAACTATCAGCTTTCTATCATATCGTATATTTCCACGGTTAACAATGACATCATGTCAGGGGTGAATCCAGTGAGGAGAGCCTCATTACGGTTCCTCCATTCATTTTTGTCGTAGTAAACCTTCATCAATTGAAACTCGGTATCTTCAGATGAGCCCTCATATTGATTTTGAGACGTAGGTACTTCATTGCCACTGTCATTTTGGGCCACGCTGGGCGTCTGCCCCCACACCACCCTGATGCGGATCTTCATGCGGTGCTTCGGGTTGGCGAATTCTTATGGAAACTCAGTGGCAAGAGCGGCTAAATATGAGGTTTAGTCACCCTCATCTACCTTTTTGTGTAGATTTTCGAGGTCCCTATCCGAGCGGCCGCTTGCTTGCTTGCAGGGGCCGCTCGAAGTGCCAATGCACTTTCTACAGAATCATTCAATCTCCACTCGTTCATCAACATCCCACTTACATGTATGCTCTTATACCATAGTCCACCTAACTGCTTCAATCGTGTCGTTTCTTTCGGATCTTTGCCTAGGATTGTCAGATCCAAAACTGCAGAGTAAGGCATCAATCGAGCCATACCTGTAGCCCATTCGCCGGACAAGGTGTAAGTATCCAAGGGCTCCGAGGAATATTCAGTCACATCTCAGGCAGTTCAGAGACCATACAGCAACAATGATGGAAATCAAGAGGTGCCTCAAACCTGGAGGACTCGTTATATATATCGATAGTGGCGGTGAACTTGACAAAAGTTGTAGCGCTGCCTACAAAGCAGCCACGTCTGCAAATCCAGAATGGTCCTGGCACCAGAGAATGTTCCTCAGATATCGACGTGAATAGATCTCACCATGCACCAGATCCAGATCCTACATCGCATTATGCGTCAATAACAATTATTCATGGAGCAGGTGAGTGGCCTACCTAGATTTAAGACCCGTCTCGTTTCTCCAGGAGCAACAGCAAGGACTTTCAACACCTTGTCCCGACAAGCCTGATGGTATAGGCCTTCAAAGGTTACTTTGTTTGCTTCATGTTGAACATCACTATAGGTTCTGAGAAGTACTGAAACTGAGTTTACCCATATGACCCACAGTCTACTATATTCCGGATCATCTGTGTTTGAGTGTCAGTTATGCCCTCTTACTGACAAATTGCTGACCGTG